TCAACTGCCATAAAGGCAATATCACAATCTCTCTTTGGTCCTTGATGTGGTTCACACCATGTGTGAGAAAAGTAAAACTAAACACTACAATAATACATTATAAAATGGTCTTCTTCCTGCTGATCACAAACCAGCAGAAACCGGTGTGGACTCTGCAATCTTACAGGTGTGGAGGTTTGTTTTTTGTTAAACTAGAAATCTATTATTACTTGTCATTTGAATGAATGACATCTAATGATGAATACATTGCTACTGAATCAATGCATTAACATTAATATGTATCTTCTTTAAACGTATAAATGATGACTGCTAATGCATGAAAGAGTAGTTTTGCAAGGCAAGTAGCACTAGATGGTAAACATACATGTGATGGTGACTAAATAGATGGACAGGGAGGCAAATAGACAGACAGATAAATAATGATAGATGGATAGCAAGATAGATCAAATAGAGAAAGACAGCACAGAGAGCAGCAGGAAACTGTTCTAATGTGTGAAATGCCAGAGAAATTCAATTTTTGACAGTGGCTGAATAGTGTTGAACCCCAAAGGAGCTGATGGTCTCACATGTGAGGTGATCTATAGCCAACCACAGGGCTCGGGATGAGCGGATGGTTGATCATACTGACTGAGGAAAATGAATGGAAGTGGGGAAGAGAAATGGAGATATGTACAGCATGACTCGTTGCTTTATTTCCAGAAAGTTTTGGTTGACAGTTGATGGAAGGTTTTCTTTTGTGTTGTTTTAATTTGCATTTATTGGCATAGTTGTACACTATGAATATAATTCTTCTTTTAACCAGAGAAAAGACTTAAAATATCAACTTCATATTCGTTTGTTTGGATATATTTAGCCCAAACTCTTTTTGTGAGAGTTGGTGTGTGGGTAGTGAGCCACCTTCCTTATGTCTGGCAAGGCCCTGGCACCTGTACTGTCTGCCTGGATGAAGCAGCCCCAACCCAACAACATGTGGGAGGTGTTAGTCAACAAAACAAACAACACCCCCATCCTGTCCCCTGTCTAACACCTTGCCTCTCTCCATTAACATAACTGGCAAGAGTGCTTTATAATACTTCTGGTTGAAATCATCACATTAGGCCTGATAGCATTACCCTTCTGCTTGACTGGACCAGTGCCAAAATAAAGAGGGGACACAGAGAGAGGCAGACAAGGTTAATAAAGGCGGATGGGATTTCTGTCTGACTCACGGGTTGCTGAGGTAAGATTTTTCTGACACTCAATCCCCTCATTCACCGATATCATCAAATCCAAAAGGGTCAAATGTTTTAACACAGAGATGTGGAAATCATTTTTTCGTCTCTGTGCTATCTTACTGTTTACTGTATGTCTTGTCTGTATCTTATAATAGTATAACAACAAATACAAAAATGCTGTAGATAAAGCAGCAAAAATACTGCTATCTGCTGCTGCAGAGGGGTGAATGTATGTTGGATTATGGACAAGTCAATAACCAGCATACACAATGCAGCATCCACTGGAAAACAGTCAGGGCAGCACGGAAAACACAGCTGTCCCGGTGAGGGACAGGTATTTCTAGGGAAAATACTGTGCAGTTTAGTATAGCACCATGAACACATACATTTCAGGGATTACATGTATAGCTTTACATCAAGAATCAGGCCTTAAGATGACATATAAAACACTAAAGTCTTGGCATTTCTAAAAACAGTGGTTTCAAAGCAAATGGTAAATTGAAATGATGGCATTCTGAATAATCTGGGACATCCACTCATAAAAGACACACATACATTAAGATGCATGCAGATATAATCCTCATTGTGAGCACTGAATGTGAGTGAGGATGAGGAAGGGACATGGAAAAGAAAACTGCTGTTGTCCAGTTACTAAGGGATTGGTCGTCACTTGCCTTATGCCAAATAAAAGTAGTGGTTAAAGTATAAAAGAGGATAACCCTAGGTAACTTGACTTACACAATATCCCTATCTAGTTCAACATGATATGTAGATCTTATCTTAAATCTGTAATGTCCCAGACACAATGTCAAGTAGCCTACTGCTACAGTGTGTGTAGATACTTGGTTGGCAATGGAAACAACAACTTGCCACTTCTTTAAACAGGGTTGGCAGAAGAAATTGAAAGTATATTTTTTGTTTTATAACTCCATCCATCCGTCTTTATTTAGTTGTATGTATTTGTCCTTCACTTGGATTCCCCAGTACAGAGTCTGACACACTGCAATATCTGACAGAACACATTAGTATAAAAAATAAAGTTATTTTGTGACTCATATACAATTCTTTTCTAAATAAATAGTCTGAAACCTATTGTTAGCTGTGGATTACCATAAAAGCAATCATAGATCCTTCTTCCTCTACCACTCAGCCATTCAAGATTTCTGCTTTTTATGCGCTAATGTTTACATTTGAGCACTTATTTTTCTACCAATCAATCCTTTTTTTTTTTTACCTGCTAGATCAACCACAGATATTTACTGCTGTAGACGGGTGAGACCCACTGGAGTTTTTTCGAGCTGCTGTTGATGGATGAGTACAGACAATCACTTTGCCCACACATATTTTCCCCAGCCAGTCTTCAATTTGAAACAATGCTCTTCTCCAACCACCTCGATAAATTCCCTGTCAGAGGTTCTTTAAGTGTTGTCCAGGAAATATCATTTTTCCACTCCTCGATTTCAATATTTAGACAACATTACAATGAGAGAATGCCGGAGAAGTTTTGTGTAATAATGGGTTTTAATGCGTTGATGTCAAAAACTAATTGTTTTTCAGACAGTGTGTCTTAACATAGATATTTTAAAGGGGACCTATAATGCAAAATGCACTTTTTTATGTCTTTTATACATAAATGTGTCCCCGGTGTGTCAGGGAACTGACACACAGATTTTACGCAAATCTCTAAAAACGGGGATACAATGGAGCTGATCCAGATTTGCCATCCGATATGACGTAAATTACGTCATGTCGGATGGTGGACCCACGGCCCTATCAGAAACGTCGCTATCAGAATCAGTGCCCGATGTGTTTTGGACGTAATATGGTCTTTGTTTACATTAGCAAGCATCGCTAACACTCAGAGCTAACCTGTACTGGAGAGAGTATGTGTAAGAAGCAGGATAGAACAAGGAACTCACCCTGTGGTAAACCTGCAAGAAAAAAAGCATTTGAGCTCCATACTGTTTCAGAAATAATCTTTGATGTGGTTTTGAACATGATATGGCGTTTCATCACCGCAGCGTTTAGACAGTGGGTGTTTCTCAATCGCGAGTATGCTTGCTTGGTAGCACATGTCTTCTGAGTCACTTCCTTCAGAAGCTAGGCAAGAATCCTTCCTGGCATTCGGAAAACGAAGAGTGGAACAGGCTAGCAAGTGTGCAGGTGTGCGTCATATGAGAGGCCCCGCCTTACATTTTCCGCCACAGATTTGGGGAAATTGGTCCGTGCGCAAAGCATTGTGGGGATTTTAAGGATGCGAAGTCTACCCATGTGCAGCCTCGAAAATTCCCCCAAACCAAGGACGCGGCCTTGGTGGAATTCTAAGTATGCTGGACATTGGAACGGTCCTGCTGCGCCACTTGATGACGTAGCATCCTTGAAATATTGGCTTGGAAGCCAGTTTCCTCGAGATTGAGAAACGGCCAGTATCTGCCGTGTCCCGCATGAGCAGGCATAAGCTCCGCCCCCTCTCTTTTTATTATATTTTATTATTTTTTATTTTTTAAGCTTTATTCCCCGAATCAGCACTTTAGTAACAGGGCTGAAACGGAGGGATATGAGGCATGGCTAGAATGGGTGATCTGTTTGGTATTTTGAGCAAAACACTTCATAGACATTCATTTTTATATATTTATATATATCTGAGACCTATGCTATTGCCTAGAAATAGCATGATAGGTGACCTTTAAATCTGCTGAATGTTTGATTTCTGGATCCCTGACAAGAAACATTGAAAACCCTAGTATAATATCACCAATCCCCAAGCAATTGATACAGTCCAGAGAACAAGAGCAGCAGTAGTTCTGCCATCCATTCATTATTAGAGAGCACTAAAAGCTGCACAAAGCCTCTCGTCACTTACATTTAATTACTGACTACTTTAATTCCTTGTAATCCTGATAAATGTCTTCAATTTAGAAGAAATTGTAAAGTATTTATGTTCCCTGGTGTGAAAGTGAGGCAAAGAGATTCTGAGGGAGACCAAGCAGTTTCAGAGATTGCGCAGTGTGGTTCAGAGCATAGACTCAAATGCCTGTGGTGCATGTAGAGTATTTTCAGAAAGCCAGAGAGAACAACAAGACCGCTAGTGTAGGAAGCGTGAAATGCCAGCATCCACTGGGGCAATAATGGAGTGACTGGATACAATATAGTCATTTTGTGAGACTTAAATATGACTAAATGTTCTTTTATTCCATAAAGAATAACAGCTTCAAATTTGTATCTAAAAGTCATCAAAAGTAACTGAGGAATATCTGTAAAACCCATAGTCTGTCTTGTGTTTTAACCCAACAAATCTAGTATGCCTCTTTGCACCTTCAAAATGGCATCACTACTTTTTTTGTTTTGTTCTATCTTGACACTCTTGCCAGCATGATAATGGGAATTGTTTGGACCAAAAGATGTCAGTTGAGCTGGTGTTCAGAGCAGAACCCCTGCAAGTGTTATCCCTGCAGTACAATGCAGCACAAGTTACCTCACCGCCATAAAACAACGGTAACATTTGCCCATAGAAGTGCCCTACAGAGATCAGGAAGGTGTGCGCTGAAGAGCTTTGTGTTCAGCAGTAACAGCTATATCATGGCCAGTGTCTATCTAAAAAGCAAATGGAGGAATCTTTGCGATTCACTTCTGGTATAGCACACTATTTATATGTAAAAGCTCTTGAACCAATGGGATGGACTACAAGCTGTTGAAAGGCAGTGCTGATGCTGAAACCATAGCATGTGGTTATTTTGAAGACAGATAATACCAACATAGGATTTGTAGGATTGGGAGTTACTTTACCTGCCTTAGGCCATCTTTGCTGTTCTGCATGATCCTCAGGATGTAGTTAGACCTCTGACCTTTGCTGTTGAATTCAATGTGGCCCGTTAGACCTTCCAATTCTACCTATCCAACACAGAGACAGCAACATGTTAAAATACCTCCCAAAGAAAGCAGCAGCTATAGATCTCACTAGAGCCTACATTAGCACTACTGGCTCTGGATCAACCTCTTGAAATGTGTCAAATTTATTACATTACATTACATTACATTGCATTTAGCTGACGCTTTTATCCAAAGCGACTTACAATAAGTACATTCGACCAGGAAGACACAACCTTGAAGAAAACAGAATCATATAAGTACATCAGGTTTCATAGAGCCAAACATTTCAAGTGCTACTCAACTGGCTTTAGGTAAGCCAGTCCTTTATTAGTATATAAGTGCTTTGTTAATAGTTCTAACGCTCGAAGTGGAGTCGAAAAAGATGAGTTTTCAGTTTGCGCCGGAAGATGTGCAAGCTATCTGCCGTCCTGATGTCAATGGGGAGCTCATTCCACCATCTTGGAGCCAGGAAACCCACGTGTTTTCGCCGATGGGAACTTGGGTCCCCCTCGCAGCGAGGGCGCAGCGAGGGCGCAGCGAGGGCGCAGCGAGTCGTTTGGCTGATGCAGAGCGTAGTGCACGCGCTGGGGTGTACGGTTTAACCATGTCCTGGATGTAGGAAGGGCCAGATCCATTCGCAGCATGGTAAGCAAGTACCAGTGTCTTGAAGTGGATTCTAGCAGTTACCGGAAGCCAGTGAAGGGAGCGGAGGAGCGGAGTGGTGTGGGAGAATTTAGGAAGGTTGAAGACCAGACGAGCCGCTGCATTCTGGATGAGCTGCAGAGGTCGGATGGCACATGCAGGTAGACCAGCCAGGAGGGAGTTGCAGTAGTCTAGGCGTGAGATGACGAGAGCCTGGACCAGAACCTGAGTCGCTTTCTGAGTCAGCTGGGGACGTATCTTCCTGATGTTGTAAAGCGTGTATCTGCAGCAGCGGGTTGTAGCAACATTTATAATGATAATATGAAGAACGAGGCTGTTATATCTTCAATTTACCACAGAATAGACAAGCCATTAGTCAGGTCTTCTTCCTCTGAGAGAGGAAGACAAACAGTCTGATATCGAACACATTACATTTAAGCATTTTGATAGCCAGTCAGTTACAGCCATTTCTCCCTAATAGGATAACACATTTTATTCACTGACAGCTAATCTTTATCTCTCCTTCTCTGTTGTCTCTCAGTATAATGTAGAGACAAGATAAACTGACCTAGTGGATAAGGAGCGTATCAAAGATGAGAGCACAGACTATTATACAGTGCCATCTGTTGTCAGCGATAATATAAGGGCTTTAAGATAACCAATTAATATGCAACATCAGGAAAGCAAAAACAAAGGGCTCAATAAGCTTGGCAACATCTTTATCTGGTACCTGCTAATAATGACATTCCCTGCCCTTCTTGTTGTGTGAGAGAGTACGAACACAGAAATGAAAACTTACAAAACTGAGAATTATCTTTAATTAAGGATAATAGTTTGTCATTTTGGGAACATACTTTTCTGTCTAGTTAGATATCAGTTAAAAACATCAGTTCTGTCATTTCGGTGATTTGCTGCAAGAATAAAGCAACTGGTTAGTTAGCTCAGCTTCGATAAACATAACGTCTGGAAACAGGGAAAGCAGCTGGCCTGGCGGTGTTTAAAGGTAGCAGACCCTTTTTTGCCATGGCGCAGTGACTTTCTGGAGTTTCTGCTGGTTTCTCATGGTAAAACGACGAGGAGGTAACTGCGACCGCCAAGAAAAAGCATAAAGTTCTGTTAGCTTTAGCAAGGCTGGCTGTAATCAGTCTTTATGCTAAACTAAGCTAAAAAATAGCTGGCTGTAGATTTATATTTACAATACAGACAAGGGAAAGGAATCAATTCGTTTTTGTGTTGTATTTGTTTTGGTGTGTTTTGTCCTAGAGTATGTAACACTTCTTAAAGAACTCAATTGAATATACATCGGATGTATTATTTATAAGAAAAATAACTACATTTCTCAAAAAGTTAAACTTACCATCCTCAGGTAATTCATCAGGCTGGTGCCGTGCTCCCAAATCTTGGAGGACTTGCAGGAGAGCTGGGTGGCGCCAACATTTTGGCTACGGTTCAGCTCCTGGACGGCCGCCACCACCGCGTATACTGCATCAAAGAGCAGGGCTGAGGAGAGCTGCAGAGGGGGAGAGAAAGTGCACACATTATGCAATTATGCATTCACACACAGCTGCAAAGACTCCAAACTGCAAGTGTACCATGTCAGTAGTTAGTGGTCAATAAGGGGTTAACCCATCCCTGGAGTGGCAGTGATATTATTCCATTAGATCATTAGAAAGTCTCTCTCTCTCTCTCTCTCTCTCTCTCTCTCTCTCTCTCTCTCTCTCTCTCTCTCTCTCTCTCTCTCTCATCCCCAATGAAGCTGGCACATCCGGACCATTTGAATCACTGCCTGTTCTCAGTGAAGGCCAGCTTCAGGCAGCTTTTCCTCTTATCACCCTTGTACAAACAGCCCCCTCGTTACTACCACTGCATCCTGCTATGTACATTTTATTCAAATGCATGATGCGCTGCATTAGAGGCCAAAGGAGGGTCAGTGCGGTACATCTGTGTAATGGAAATTGGGATGAAATGGCCCTGATGTTTGGTGGATATTGGAAGAGGGAGGGATGGTGATGCATAATAAATGTTGGATCAAAGAGAACAATAAGCCATTAAACTGAAAACCTGTGATGTCTTACAACCTTAAATTGGCAAACATAATTACTGGATTGCACTTTAAAGCAAAATGTTGCGTACAAACAGCCTGTGAAGACATTACAATCAGCACTGTGGGTTTGACAGATTGGAATAATGTCTTAGTGTTTGTTAAGTCAGCATTAAAAAGTAAATGGTTGTTTCTGGTTATATTCCACTCGTATCTTATCATATTTATGCCGTGAAGCTAATAGGGCCATTGCATCTACGCAGCTCCTCTGTCACAGGTGTTCTCTCTTTGTGTGCCAACATGAACTTTCACTATTTCGGGCTTGTTTTACAAAAAAAAACCTTAATCCTTTGGTTTTACCGGATGCGCTGTAACACAAATACAGTCACGTCTTGTTTATCTACTGATATTTTAGTCTACTTTTTCTTCATGCTGATTTGAGAATATAAATACCTCCCCAAAAACGCGAGACATTTTTAGGCAGCGTTGTTTGTTCTACACTAATTTGTCTCCTGTAAAACTTTAAATCTATGCTGCATCTTTCAAAGTTGGCATGGTGCACATCTTTATCTTTCAATGCATTAACAGTCTCAGATTGACATGCAAAGAGGTCACGTGTGCATTTTTTGTACGTATGAGCCCCACAGTTGCAATTCCTCCAAACCTAATTACAGTAAATGAAAAGACAGCATATTATCTACGTGCATGTCTAAATGAGTTAATGACTTTCTTGCTCTGCGTTCATCAGCCTTTATTCTCTCTAGTTATTAGCGAATTAGTCACAAGTTCTAATTGCCGCACGCTCAAAAGCATCCGAGTGACCTGCTGTGCCCAAAATACATTTTTACATGCTATTCTTAACCTGTTCCACCAGCCAACGGGGGTCATGGGTTTCAATGTGTTTATTTAGTTTTACATAAAGTCAGGGATTAATTTAATAATTTCCTTTACTGACTTTGTTGTTCCTAATGAAGCCCTTGAGAAAATATGCAAAAGCTGTCCATTTGCCTCAAATATGTTGTTCTTGTTGGGACTGTTGTTAGATGTTATTACTTAATATTCACGTCATGTTTAGAAAAGATAGGACAACAACATTTCCATTTGAATTACTTTAAAAAAAAAATATTGGTTTAATACTTGAAGATATTTACGATTATACTGTTAGATTGATTGGTTTCGACACTGATAAATGATTGAAAAATTACTTCAATATTGATGGCATTGAAGATCTATTATAGATTCGTATAGTATATTAGGAGAAAGTTAATTTCATCCACTGTTAACATGAAAGACATGACACTGCAATACTTCTTTACTGGACTCAGAAGCAGAAGTTCATCTCAGAGCGGCTCAATTCCCTCGTTACTTTGAGATGCCGTTTTTACGAGTGACACTTTCTGGGTGAGAGGGCTTAATCCTGAGAGGGATTATAGGGCAGGGAGATAATACTCATAAATTGAGGTCTCATAAACAAGCGCTCATTTACGAATGGGTGGCAGTCATCACTTTCATGCAGGTCATTAACGACATTTTATCAGCTGAACAGCACGTAGACATTTCAGACAAGTCTATCTCATAAAACAAGTATGAGAGTGTTCTGCTGTCAGCCTGTCAGTACAAAATGTTCATTAAGGTGGGCTCAAATGTAAAAAAAACTGTATTTAATCGAGTTTCTTAACATAAAAACAGTTGTACTTTCATATGTTAACAGTAGCTTAGTGATTTGAGGCTGTTTTGAAGTCACTCATTCATTATGCAGAGCAGGACATGTTAAACTTTGAGCAATCTTTGGATGATCAGCGGAATTAAGAAGAGCAAAGTTTATCTTTTCTTTTGCATCTTCTTCTGAAGGAAATTTAACAGGGATCCATTATAAATGTATTAAGGAAGGTGGATGCTGCAAATTAGTTGTCTGCCAAATAACAACTGCCTACAGCAGCACCTGCAAATAAAACAGTTACCTGGATAAATGTCAAACCGTGGTATTTTTGTGTATAAATGACGTCAGTATTTAGGTGGATTACTTTGAGATGCAGCAGTACACTGGAAGAATATTGGCTCTGAAAACCCTGTCTGAACTTGGTATGGCAATAAATAAAAAAGGCTTCAACCATTATTCTCACATGAGTAACCCTCCTCTTCTGTTTGTGTGTGTGTGTGTGTGTGTGTGTGTGTGTGTGTGTGTGTGTGTGTGTGTGTGTGTGTGTGTGTACTTACTGGGGTGCCAGCGAAGGGTGCATGGTCACAGTTCTCTTGCCAGGAGCGGTTGAGGCTTAGCACAAAATCCTGGAAGAAGGGATGAGTTTGGTTGAAGACTGAAAATCCAACTATGTTGACTTGTTGTTCCACCACGTCGTCCAGTCGAAGTAGAGAGAATTCCTGGAGGGCAAAATGAGAGCGAGACAGATGGAGATTACTGGGTGAAAGCATTTTATTCCCATGAAAGCTGTCACATTCTGCCATAATCTACTTTGAACAACACCAAATGATACATTGAATCATTGTCAAGGTAAAAAGGGCATCAAATATGTTTACATCCGATTTAATCCGCCTCACTTAGCATTCATAAACTCCCATTATTCCGGCTGATTGACATGAGAAAGCTGCGGCAATTTGTTCATTCCCACCATTTAGCTATGCGCCACTGAACAAAACCATGCATTTTGAACTGGCCATATGCTATTCTTGACATACAGGCCATTATGTTAATACTGGATTGCAATGTTAAGGACCTACATTAGAGCAAGATGGACAGTAAAAAGAGCCTAAGACGGACTGGAGACAGTAAATGGGGAAGAAAATAAGGACACTGAGATAGGGCTGCTCAATTAATCGTATTTTAATCGTATTTTAATCGTATTTTAATCGTATTTTAATCGCGATTACGGCTTGCAACGATTACGAAAACAACGTAATCGAAATAAAATGATTATTTTTTTATTATTATTATAATAATAATTTTTGTTTGTTTTTGTTTTTCAGTTGAATTATACTTAAAGTTCAGGGTAATCAACTGTTAAAAACATACTGTTCACATTTGTTTTCTCCAATAAATGGATGTTTTCAAAGTCAATGAATAATCGCAATTACAATTATTGACCCAAATAATCGAGATTATGATTTTTGCCATAATCGAGCAGCCCTACACTGAGACGGATTATTGAGAAAGTGAGGCAGAAATTCATTGCATATTAAAATGCTCTGGGTTAGGAGCAGAGAAAAAACATATATGTTTCTTATTTGGCCATAGGGACATGGTGTTTCTTCTCCACCTGGGGAACAGCAGACATGGGACAGGTGGAGTTAGAGATGAGGAAGACATGGAGGAGAGGGAATGCTGTGAGCGGGGATGGACGTTTCCTGAAGGTTAATAGAGGTGTCAGAACCTGGTACCCCCTCAGGTAGCAGCCTTCGCCTGGCAGCCTGTTGTGCCACCAGCTTATGACAGCCAGACCAGACACAGTCTACCTGTCTCTCACCAAGGCCAGGGACACTCTTGATTTAGAGTGATTGGAGGGGAAAGTAAGGTAGAAATAAAAAATGAAAGGGTTGGTGTGGGAGTAAAGAGGTGCCAGGGGACATGCGGAGAACAAATGGGAATACAACATGATAGCATGTGTATGGGATACAGTGGTCAACAAGTTGGAAAGAGGTAGAGAAGAGAAGCTAGACACCTGTTAATGAAAGGAATCAAATTTGTCTGGAAAACAATGATCAAAGCCCTCGACGACCAGCTTTAAACCTCCTGCTACGTAGAAACCCAGGGTGCGTGTGGTACAACATTTAAGGAATAGGGCAAAATCTTTCAAACAACCCAACCAAAGGGAAGTCATGATTGTGTTCTGGAAAATTCAAGCTAAGGCACAGCTATGCTGCAACAGAAAATGAAAAAATAAGAAATTGCCTTTTTCATCTGTAAGAACAAAATGGATGAGAGGGATTAGGCAAATGAGATAATGGACATTCACACACCAAGAGGGAAAAAGGTCAGTGAATTAAATAACTGATAAGCAGGTAGGTGGAAAAAGCTCTCAGACCAAGAGGAGCATGACTCATTTCAATGTGAAGACACCAGTGGGTGACTGCACTGATACAGACTCGGAACAGAGCAGGGCGGAGGAAGCCGTAGATATTGTCCCAAATGTTTAGCAGGCATTCGCGCAACTTTGCTGCATGTTGATTACAAACAACTGTGGAAAAGTCTGCTAAAAATATTCGAGGTAGAGAGGGTTTAAAATGAGCTACAAGGAAAAGAGAGTTTGGGAGCAGCAAAGTTATGTGTGATATGTGAATGAAACATGTCCTGAGCTGAAGGAACTCTTCACCAGGGAGAATGTTGTTATATATACTGTATCTGCAGGTGGCAGGGGCGGACTGGGGGGAAAAAGTGGCCCGGGGACTAATTGACAGACAGGCCCACTTAATGCGTGGCATGTATCGGCCGGCCGGCGACGAAAGTATGTTACTTAACAAAAAGCCCTATGCATTTTATGTTATTTTGGACCATTATTCATATAGTAATCACATTACCTGAGCCCTTGATAGAGCAAAATAGTTACAGCATATATTTAGCGATTTTAATGTTAACAGATCATTGATGCAATAACATTTGGACCCAATTTGCCTGACTTGACACATGGAATAAAACATGGGCGTAGGAAGCATTCTCAATGTGGGTGAGACAATTTAACAGGGGGTGTGGGCAGGTGGTGGACCTAACCACCTCTAGGGGGGTCCGGGGGCATGCTCCCCCGGGAAGATTTTTTTTTAAATGTTGAAGTTAAATGCATCAATCTGGTGCACTTTATTAGGGATTAAATCTATGGATACATCTCTCAACACCCATATGAACAGATTTACTTTTTCTTTCAACATTTATTTGAACAGCAACTGGAGGCAAAAGTGACTACACCCAAAACAATAAACCTGCTAGCTAACTAGCCTAAACTCAGTAACAGAATGTGGGCAACACGTTCTTCTCCACAGCTGCGCGACCTCTCAGTCAGACGTCACTTCCCCCTTTTCTATCCTACGGGTAGAGCCACTCCCCCTGAACCCTGTTATATATATTTATTTATTTTTGCCCTCCGGCCCACGCACAGCACCGGCCCACCGGGAAAACTCCTGGCATTCCCAATGGCCAGTCCGCCCCTGGCAGGTGGTGTGCTGTGATGAACAAATAAATCATTTATATTTGTGCTAAGTGATTCCACATCTCCCAGGCATAAAGTGTCTTTACCTTTTCTTATATAACATCTTTAAGAAAATCGCCTCCTGGCCCATTTGGAAATCAACTGCATTTGCAGAGGATGAGAGAAGGCAAACATCTGATCCCATCTCTTTCACTTGGCCCAGAGATGAAGCTGATTGATTGATTGAGAAATACACAACTCTGATCGTTCAGTTTGAGTGGAGAAGTCTGGCGTCCAATTCAAGAAATACTCAATCTGACCGGATTGTTGTTCGTCATTAACAAATACTGCTATCAGATTAAACTGTGTTGAACCCTGAGGGCGTTTGTTACAGAACCTGAACTTTACAACATGCTCTTTAATCTTTTGTTCTTGTAAGAGTAGTACAGTATTTTTTTTCTGGCCTTATTCTTTTTTTTAAAAAAACGTTTATGTAAGATTTCACAAAAACAACACAGCAAAAGACATTTCCCCCACTGTTGAGAGTGTAACGTTTGTTGTTCGATTTGCCACTGTGTACAGGTTTAGTTTCTGTGGATGTATGGTATAATTGACATCTCTATTGAAACTTTAAAATAAATATCTCGTTATTTGTGTGGTCGAAAGTCAGCTTACAAATTTGAGGGAAAAAAGGCTAAGGGAAAAATCGTTTTGATACACAACTAGAAGATGAGGCAGTTACATTTATTTGGATGTGCTGCTTGCTGCTCTAGTACTTCATAAGACATTTCTGTTAACAATGAGAATAATGGTCTCTGTGACTCTTTTACTCAGATATAAACAGGATTAAGTGAAATTGATAGCCTACTGACTTGATTTTGCAATTTTCTCAAATTATAAGAAAATAAATAAAAAGTCTAAGAGTGCCAAGAGAGGGATTATATGTTCCTCAGTAAAACTAGATGAACAAATATTCCCAGTCTTGATCACGTCAGGAGAACATTTGAGAAACATTTTTGACACTGTCCTTTATTTATTTATTCTTGTTCATAAACTCAAAGGTGAATGCCATATACTAATACATTCCTCTTCATTATATGTTCTCTCATCTTCATGTATATTATTTAGTCATCCCTTCTGGGGCCTCATAAGCCTTTTGGGACTGGCCATATAATTACTTGCTAAGAGTACTTTAAATAGATCATTAGAAGCAGAGCTGTGCAAACGAGTCTATCATTAAGCATGCCCCTCAAGCGTGCCTGTATGTATGCATGTGCATAGAGCTCACGCACAAACACAAATTGGAAATTGCACGTGCACGCCCACACACAGAAAAATAAATCCCTATAATTGAGCAACCTGGGCAGACTCACTAAAGACCAAGGTCACCAATATATCCCAGGGCCATGTCTGAATAAAATGACTGTGATGCTTTCGTGGGCTTTCAAGCCACAGACACTGGCACACATTCATATACAAATTCACACACATACATAGTCGGACAAAAGCACAGCCTAAATCCCTCTACATGAGCAATTATGCTCTCTTGCATACTAAATAGGTGGAGTGAAATTGCCGGTGCTTAGCAGAAGTTGAAGGGTAGAAGAAGAAAGGAGTGAAAAATCCAACTGTCCAACCAACTGGGGTGAAAAGGGTAGGGAAGCCGAATGATGACGAGTAAGATGGAGAGAGAGCGAGAGCGAGAGCTACAGTATGGGTTGGATCAATGGAGAGAAGAAGTTGAAAGATTATTTTAGCACAACTGAGAGTTTAAAAAGCAGTGGGGGAGAAAGAAAGAGTGACAGAGCGAAGATGTGAGCGAGCAGGATGGTGGGAAAGCGCATGGGAGTGACAGCCTGGCCGTGGGCCCCTGACACCGGCTGTCACCTGGAGATCAATCAGCAGCCGGGGCCCGAGCCAACCAACCAAAAACTGGTGCTTCACCCTCCTTAAATCTTGTCCTTCTTCCTCTGAAAACCTCCTGATCACGAAGTCTCCATCTTATCCTTTATTTATGTCCCCTTAACTATTCTTTCAATGTCTCAAAGTTCAAGTTCAAATGATTTGTCCTTATAGGGTGTGCAATAATTACAGAGAAGGAGGCATTGGCAATTAACATATTGGGTCAGTAACAGAGGTGATCTTTGGGGCCATAGATCTCGGCCTCCGTTACGAATTGTGTAGTTTTGTTGGTGGCGAAATGTATGTAGTGTGTGCATCTGTAGGCTATGTGTTTTATGCCCCGGC